ATGGGCAGAGCGGAAGACGATCTCTGCAGATTTTGCTCAGACGCAATAGAAACCACAGAGCACCTGCTGCTCTGCGATTGTCCAGCCCAATCCTGCAAGAGGCTCAAATTCCTCGAGGGGGCAACACTGTCACCAGAAGAAGTGGGCCAACTGACACCCAGGAAAATAGCTTCCTTCGGCAGAAGTCTACGCTTCCTGGAGACAAATTAAGATGTAGAGTCACGCACAAAATATCTGCAAAGGTAGCAGTGCTGAGCGGCTGAAAAGCCGAAACGACTCTCCCTAAATCTATAAATCTACAATCTACCCCTAATGTACCTACCTTTCTTTAGCTATAACCATAATCCATTTTGTTTTTCCTACATTTAATTAAGTAAAGTCCAAATTGCGAGCTGCAACTTTATTTAGGAGCTCCTGCAGACCTTTCAGTGTATCTGCGATAATAACTGTGTCATCATCTAGACCAACTTCTTTAAGACATTCTATGAGCTTTTCGTGCTGGACTCGATCAAAAGCTTTCTCATAATCCATGAAAAAGGCATATACTGGCACCGACACATCCTTAGAACCCTTTGAATCAAGACCTGAACACCAAATAAAACCTCTTTAGTATACCAAACCCTCCACCAGAGCTGGGCAAGCTACTTGGAAAAAGTAGCTAGCTACAAGCTACAAGCTACTTTATATTGTAAGTAGCTAAGTTACTCAGTAGCTCAACTACCTCTTTGAAAAACTAGCTAAGCTATTAGTAGCTTAACTACCTTTTGAATTTTTGAAAGCTACTATTTAAGCTACTTTTTTAAAAGTTAAATTGATAAAAACAAAAAAGCGTGCACAATCGCCACCATCAATGTACATACCTTACCTAATAAAATTTCATAATATCATCATACGAAAATAACATATTAACTTTCTCTAAGAAGTAGGATTCATATTTTTGTCAAAAACCACTGGACATTAATTTATTAGGTTCAGGTTCACTTTGATCACAGTGATCTGGGAATGCGAGAATAAAGGTAGGCGCAGACCAAGGCGGGACTGCGGGAGCGGAAGCGAGAACGAAACTTGTGAGGGACGTAAATCAACAGCGGGAAATGAAGGAGTGCATACCGGTACGAAGGAAACGCATGCGAATTGCGGGATGTCTGAGAATGAATTTCGGTTCGCAAGGTGCAGCGTTTTCCCGCAGTTCGCATAGTAGTTTGATGATGTTTTTGTATTGTTTGGACAATACCACGTGTTTCCAGTATGGCGGAAACTATCGCGTTGGTGTGCATGCTATTTAAACTCGCCGCTGCCGCATCTAACGTATCGTTCCCGTTTCCACTCCCGCTACCGAAGTCCCGCGTTGGTCTGCGCCTACCTAAAAATAGGACACATAAAACATACAGAGATAACTAGAAACTAGTCTAAACAAGGCAGGATAAGAATTTTCCGGAAAATGATAATTGTAGCTTGAGCAATTAAAGTATAAAGTTACTTTTATCGAGCGGTTAATTCAAACGCGGGCGATAGGTTGGTGGAAACGTGCCTTTATAAGGGGGACAATGTTTATTTTTGAAAACAATGTCGAATGGATGCCATTATATTATAGGTATAGTTATTTCATTTTTGAACTAAAAGATTCTGCTGCGCATAAAACGTAATAAGTATTTTAGGCGTTAAGTATCGTTAACCACACCCTCGGGCGGTAAATGACACTTTCCGCCATTATTACCTAAATAACTATTAACTATCTACCAAAAGTAGCTTAAGTAGCTTGTTTTAGTAGCTAGCTACTTTTCACAGTAGCTTATGAATACTTGAAACACATTACCAAAAGCTACAGCTATAGGCTACTTTTTTTTCAAAGTAGCTTGAATAAGTTATTAGCTACCAAAAAAGTAGCTAAGCTAGTAGCTTAACTACTTGGTAGCTAGCTACTGCCCAGCTCTGCCCTCCACGAAATCCAAACTGTGTGTCTCCCATGAATTATTCGCACTCTCTGAATATTCTTTTATGGATAATCTTTTAAAATATTTTCAGCATATGACTCATTAGGCTGATTAAACGGTAATCACTACACTACTTTGCTGAGTGCTTTTTAGGCAGTGTAACAAAGGTTGATTTCATCCAGTCAACTGGAATATTACCGCTGCGATAAATCAAGTTAAATAGTTTGACCAGCGTATTTAACGAATCTTCGTTCTTTAGAAGTTTTAAAACTTCCCTGTATATGTCGTCTTGCCCTACCGCTTTTATGGTTTTAGCCAACGATATTGTGTGCTGAACTTCGTTTGTAATATATGCCTTGGTTTGAGAATTTCTCCGGAGGTTCGGACCGATTATCGGTAAAAAGATTTTCTCTGCAGTTACACTATTCTTGTAATTTTTCTTTGGTATCGGTATAATTTTGCCTTGGTTGTCCACCAGAATTCCTGCTTTTTTTTGTGAAGCTTAGGGCGGTTTGAATTTGATCCTAAAATGTCTCTATGACATCGTCTGAGTATTCACATGTAGGAGCGTACACTTGAATAATATTAACATTAAAGGGTATAGAGTTTAAATGGAGAAATATGACTCGATCCGACACAGAGACAAAAAAAAGAGATAAGGGTTTTCTGAGTTTCTTTGTTTAGAATGATTGTGACGCCGTTATTGTGATTTGGGTCGTCATTGCCTGCGTGATAGATGTGGTGATCGTCTATCTGGCATATTCACCTGAGCTAGGCCATCTTACTTCACTAACTCTCAAAATCTCTATGTCTAACTTTTTTTATCTCTCTGAGGTCATTATTCACTTTTCCTGTCTGAAACATACTTTGAACGTTCCAGGTTGCCATCGTCTTCATAACAGGCCCGGAGATTCTTAGCACCTTCCAGGGCTGCTGGAAACTGAGGGCTCTTTCCTTTGTCTTCCTGTTATTTGAGAGAGTTTTTGCCATGAAACATAACGTTGGCAAGATGTCTTGTTGAGTGATAACTTCATCCGCCCTAACATGAGGAACAGATTCTGTAACTTCAGCTAACTCAAATCCCAAACTACAAAAACTGAGAGAGGAAATTCAGTATCTGCTACAAGTAGCAACTCCTACTATATCCCAATGAAAATATCAACAACAATCTCCAGCCTGAAACTCCAAGATTGATTCAAATAACCTATTATAAAATTATACACACATCTTTAAAAACATGTCATGTAAGTATCCATCTTTAAACCCATACCCCATATTAAATCTCATAATTGTATATCAAAAATGCTTCGACATCGATAAACCCATTGTACAGAAGCTCCAGGTATATTATCTGAATCAAATCAAACCACATTTTCACGCCTCACGAATTCACAATTTATTAAATGTTGAATCGTAACCTGGTTTTTTTCGAATCGAAAATTAAAAAATCCGCTACCCCCCGACCTATTACAAATAATTAAATCATCATCAATCACTCTAAACGGCTTTATAACAAGGGAGAAATAACCACAGTTTAATTGCGAACAATAAAACTAAACACACGCCACTGTTTACAATATAATTTATACGATCTGTTAGCTACAGGCTAACAATGGGACCTAATAACTGGCTTCATGTATTCAATACCGAAAAGCTATATACCGGGGAGCGAGAGAGAGCTGGAACTGCATAGTAGGGTGACCCATTGAATAGAGGGACGGAACTCTCGGTTGATTCATAATATGTATTTTATAATTAAATTTTGATGTGATTGTTCGCGTGGAAACTTTGACTAGTCTCCCCATTAATTGTTCTCGAATAAAGCAGACAAATCAACCTCTTTTAAACAACTTCAAGAAGATCACACAAAAGGATTGAGCACCCAGATAAAGCGTTTTCAGTTTTATACTCGCTTATTGCAGCATCGTTTTAATCCATAATAATATTTAATTTTTTAAGAAAAGATACAATATTTATAATTTTGAGCAAGAGAATTTTCTGTTATTTCAAATACTTTGTGATCTTGATGGCCTCCAGCAATTTGAAGATCGAATACGTGATTGCCCACTTTCCTATTTATTTTCTGGCTGTTACTTTCTTACATTTATCAAGAAAGATCCTTGAAGATTTCATCATTTAAAAAAGTGGAATAGGATCAAGCCTTAAGCTCTTGATGGTCTTCAGCGAATAGAAATGTTTGTTTTTGAAGATCAGATAACGTGATTACTAACTTTACTCGATATACAATGTTGATTATTGTGCTTCTTACCAGAAACAAAGATTTCTTCCAAATAAGATCAAAGCCAAGTCAAACTATCCTAGACGATCTACAATTTGCATCCTTCTCAACCCTTTGTCTTCCCAGGCCTTTTGACACCCCCCCTGTTGGAAATGTGTATAAAATAAAACTTCATACTATACATTATGATCTCTTTAATATCATTATTTAATTCATATAATATTTTTCTTCACTTATATATAGACGATTTTGAAATAATAAAGAATCTAGGTAATTACATTTTCATCTCTAAAGAAAGGTAAAATTTTACCGCTAAAGCTTTTAACAAATCTTAATTCTAATTTTGGAAGTATACATTCTGCTAGAGGTTACTATGACAATATTACATGGTATTTTAGCTATAAATATACCTATAAGTATGTACCTACATTTAAACTTGTGGAAAAACCATATTAGTTTTTCGGCTACAAATATTACATTTCTAGAAAATAATGCACAGGAATGGGATAAAATTTCGACTATGTACATCATATGCGTTTGAAAATTAATCTAATGGCTTGTATTTATGTTTATTTTTCCTTTATTTTCAAGCTTCTTTTTCATAAAGCATCAACGTCATCTATGATTGGTGGCTATAGGGATCAAGATGCCTTAATAGAAGCAGCTGCATTTTCAAAAGTGTTTTTCTATAAATTCATCTTGCTTTGATCCCTACCCACCAAACATCCACTAAATTTATTCTTATGACTTCTCATATCGTAAATTCAAATTATTCCTCTACAATTTTCAGACATTCCATAATCATTCATTATTGAAATATTTGTTGCGTTTAACGCTATTACATAAATTAATATAATCTAAAATATCACTTATATAACAACAAAAAAAACTTACTTATATACAAATTCCAGCTATTCGGAATATGAAGTTTTATCCGAACTGGTGTTGGAACCAGGAGATGACGCCGTCGCCTTTTCATTGTAGACATCGTGCAAAGGTCCCATCATCGCTAGATAATCTGGTGGTGGTCGAATTATAGATGAAAGATAACCCGTGCCGGCATAAGGGGCTGACAAAAATCTTCTAGAAGGGCTGTAGCGATGGAAATGATGGGGTGGGCCTAGTGGAGAAAAGGCTGACGGAGATGAGACTTCTTCGTCACCCACCATGAGTTCCATAGCTTGAAGAATATCGCCTTTACATCTGAAAATAATTGTATATGTTGATGAAACATTATTTTGTCAAAAACAACTTGAATTATTACCTTTGTAAAATGGCTTCAACATCCGATCGTCTTTTCCCAGGGAAAACTCTCATCAAAATATTCACCGGCGATCTTTGAGGCGACGGTTGCATTTGAGGCATTTGCATAAATCTCGAATGATGATGAGAAATGTACGCATCGGTTTGCGGAGCAACTGGTTCTGGACTGGCATTGTTGTCGCGTTTCAAAGATAAATTTTCAGGAGTATTTGTGTCGTTTTCCTCAACGTTCAGGTCAGTTTCGGGACTGGTTACTGGATCAGGTGATGAGCACGACACTAAAGTTTGAGGGATAGAGGGTGGTTGATCACCAGGCGCCACAGATAGAGCTGATGGTCGGTTGCACTTGGTGTCTTCTTGGTCGGAATCTGATTCGTCTATATTGATTTTTGCTCGTTTAGAAGCTGAAACAAGGAAAATTTGGATTGTTACATCAAGTGCATAAAAGTTTTCATTAACGGAGATTTGAGAAGAAGAAGAAAAATGCAACAAAGATATAGACGCTTAAGCTGTCAATCTCGTTAGTATTTTTTTTGATGAATCGAAAACACAAATTGCTAAAGAAAAGAACAAATTTGTGTCTTCAATAAAACGTCTCGTATATCAATCATCCCGTAGGTATAACGATATGTTTAGTCTTTTTTTCTTTCTGTCAGGTTGCGGTCGTAACATAATACCAACATTGTTTCATGGTCTAAAGCCTCTAGGTAATTGCTTAAAGGTATACATTTCCATTGTATCTTGTCAATAGCGATTCAGAAGGCTTTTATTCTCCTTTTACAGTAAATCGGTCTTATATTCGGACAACCCTTATATCCTTTTGTGCCCCTTTTCTTTAAGTAAATATTTATGTGTATATATTTTTTTTGTTTGTAAGATTTTTATAATGTGTGCTACAATTTTGTAGGAATTTTCTGTAACATCATTAAAAAATTATTCTAAAAAACGCCTAATGCAAAAGCCTATAAAGTAATACAATATCAATGGAAAAGCTAGAGATAACAAAGGATCGTTTCATTGGCCTGGATGTTCCAGAGGAGTTGGGATAATTTCAAGAATTGGAACAAAACAAAATATACCTCTGACAGAGTAATTAAACTATGAAAGTATTGAAACCGTGATACTAGGGACAATAATTATTAATAAGAAAGAAGAATGAATATACAAGGCAGTGCACGAGCTGAACCGTTGGCAAATATTAGTGTATCAAGGATCGGATATATCGTGGAAGATTATTTAGTTTATTTGTCGGTTATCTATTGCTACTTATAAGTTAACTGACATCTTAACTAAATAACCGTGCACTGTACACTGATAAACCAGTCCTAAGTCAGCTTTTATTAGATTAAATGCTAATATCTTCTGATGAGAGTACTGAGATGCTTGATGCTGAGACGCAGTTGGCTAAAGAAATTTCTTGCAAATATCATAAATTGAAGATCTAAGTAGAACACCTGACTCTGAGCAGCAGCAAAGCTGGTTACATTTCTTCTACTAAGTCTTCGTCTTATAAAAATAAGTTAAAGCTACCTAGGATTGAACTTAAAAAGGTTGGAGGTGATCTGAAGGAATGGCTGCCATTCTGGAGTCAATTCCACCGGATCGACGAAGATTCATCGGAATATGTTCTTCCATATCGATGGAAGAAGAAGACAAATTCCAGTATTTGTTACAATCTACGACAGGCTAGAGAAGTTTATGGAATTTTTGAAGAAAAAAGTCGAGAATGAAGACAGAATTGCATCAGCTGCTTCTCGATTTGAAAATAAGGTTGAACAAAAGAGAAAATACGATAGTCCTGATAAGATTTTACATGCAGCTACTGGATTTATTGAACATCAATTTTTCCAAATGTATTTTTTGTAAAGTCCCCCACAGTGACAAATGCGATAAAATTTTTAAATGAAATCTTTCAGAAAAAAAGAAAGTACTTTTTGAAAATGGTTGCTGTCATAAACTATAAGCAAAAACTGGAATGCGCACACATATTGACGAACGTGAAGCCTAGTGTTGCTGCGGAGGGGATGCCTGTTTTTGTCGCACTCAGAAACTGCCCAAAACGTCATATGTCAGTGAGCAACAAAAAAGAACAACATTTCCCCTTGTGGCATCTGTCCTCGGTGGCTTTACTTTTTGGCGGATTTGGCAATTAGTGTGCGCATTCCAGTTTTTGGTTATAGTAGTTCATTGATTCGTCGAACATACCGCTCGAAGATGTAGAGTCTAGGTGTATGTCCAAAACATGAGCATTCAAAATCAGATGGAGCAGAGGTTTACGAAAATGTCCCAGGCGCCGAACAGTCTGTGTCAAATCACACGTATCAGGAGCTGTGTCAGGAGGTTTTCTTACAGACAATAGTGATTGAATTGAAAGGTGCTGATAAAACACGTCATCAGGGTCATCTCCCAGGTCTTATATTACTTCCTCACTGGCTAGAGAACTGAATGATGATGTAATAGTCTAATAATTAAAAGAAAATAAGTCAAACTGTGAATCATAACTGTTATCGTCTGCCAGACCTGTTGTACATACTCAACCTGTACTTAAGTATTAAGTATAAGTTTCTTTTTTAATACGAATCAAGTATCACTACAAGTGTAAGTACAAAAGGAAATACTTAAAATATCAAGTAAATTGTCCAAATTCGAGTACATGTACCAAATTCCACAAAAGTCAGAGTTAAGTTTAAGTATCTACTCAAACTTGCGTACTTGAAATGACATTTACGTAGAAATACTTGAAAAATAATTTAATTATTTTTAATTTCAAGTACCTATTGTTCGAATTAAGCTAACAAATTAAATTATTGCTATCGAAAATCTTAAAGGGGGTGTGACCCAAAAATAAAAGTTTCAGAAAATCAAAATCCAACAACAAATTTTCAAACCGCAGTAGGCTACGACCAACCGTTGCGAAGATACCGTGGTATAAAGTTCCCACTCCTAGCTCTGTGACGTCATATGCACAAACTGAGTCTGACAGCCAATGCTGGCGCGCGTTTTCTGATTCTTGCTGCATATATTAGCTCTGTTCCAACCGAACTGAAAATCACCGTTCTAAAACGTTTCTCATGTCGGTTGGAACCACTGATCTAAAAAATAAATGGATAAACAATCAAACGGCTCGATTGGCTAAACTTGTGTGAAAATTTGGGGTCAATATTCTACGAACAGTTGTGCAACGGAACAGCCTAACGCCTGCGCAGTGTCTTATCTTTCGAACAACTGTTCTAAATTTTGAAATTCCTTCATTTTCATTGGCCAGATTTTGTGCACGCACAGTACATGTATCTACTGCGCACGGTCACGGCTGTCCCAGTTGTTTACATTATGACCTCGTAAATTAGCAGAATTAGAAGCGTTCTTTGTTTATCCATTTATTTTTGACATCAGTGGTTGGAACAGAGCTATTATCAACATTATCGTATTGTTTTTGCGTTCTCGCACATATTGTTGCGTCAGTTTAAATAAGTTTTTAAATTTTTGCGTGTGTTTATGACGTCACGCGATGAATAGAAAAAACTTTATTTAGTCGTCAAGTCAATTAAAAATATTTACTTCAAGCAATTTCACTGGTACTTGAGTAATTTAATATCACTTAAGTACAAATTTTCAAAAGCTTTCAAGTAAAATACTGATATTTTAAGTACCTATTAAGTACAAGTAAAAGTTGAAATTGCAAGTACAAGTACCAATGTTTAGATTAGTACTTAAGTCAAATACTTGAGTATATTTTTGTACTTAGGTATTTACTTCAAGTATTTTAAATACTCAGTACAACAGCTCTGTCGTCTGCGCATGAAAAGTCTGACAGAAGACTATGCTTACAATTTTGAAATTTTAAATCAGCCGATAATCTGCAACAATGTATCATTTGTGAGGTCGGGTCCTTGGTTATCAGAACTTAAGAAATTGGGTTTACAGATTACGGACACCGAAGATGAACCAATGGACGTTTTACTTGGGGCTGATGTCATGGCAAAACTTTTAACTATTTAGAAGAAAGCTTGATTGGGGAAAGTCAAAAATTCTCATACTGTTCAGAAATTTTCAACAATGGTTACAAACACTATAACGAAATTATGGAATTTAGATGTACTTGGAATTCAAGATCCCCAAGAGAGTAAAAATGTAAAACATCCAAAGAGCCCACAAAGTTAGTTATATGGAACACTTTTTAAAAACTATAAAAAGAAAAGAATAGAGAAGGTACGAAGTCCAGATGCCATGAATTGACAATCAATAATCATCCCCCATTATTCACAAATTATAACCTAGCACATAGAAGACTGACTTGTGTGATGAAAAAATCGCAAACAGATAGGTAATAATTATGAAGATCACAGTTTTTGCCGAACGGCTACAAGAAGAAGTTATTGAACAAATTCCAGTTCAAATAGAAAGGGATACTGGGGATATTTTTTGCCACACCATCCAGTTATTAAGCTGTCCAGTGATACAACGAATATTCACCCAGTATTTGATGCCAAAGCTCACGAAAGAATTATGCCTTTTTTGTGTTCAGAAAAAAGCATCAGCCTTATTGAGTTGATTTCTTCTATGTTGATAAGATTTCGTATTCACAGAATTGGTGCTATAGCTGAACCGAAATTTTCTTAAATCTGTTTGGTATAATAAAGAAACTGATTACAGTTTTTTCGGCATGCTAGAATTGTATTTGGGGTAAGTGCAGACCATTTTTGTTAGGAGCATTGATAAAATATCATTTGAAAAATGGTTTAAAAAATCTGAAGATGTAATGTATGTAATGTCGACAATGTTATTGCAAGTGTAGATACAGAAAGAGATTTAAATCAATTTATTCATGAGAGTGTGGAACTTTTGAAGAAAGGCAAAATGGATCTTAGAGGGTGGGAGAACACTCTTCAGAAAGGAGCAGTCATGGAAACTGAACCTATGGTTTTAGGTCTTTTGTGGAACAAATATCAAGAAACTCTACAAATTTCTTTAGAATGGTTTAGACAAAAGGAACGAAACGGGTAATAATGTTTTCAGCTCATAAGCTCTTTGATTCCATTCGATACAAAAGTTAGGTTGGGACATAGAGATCCAGGATAAAATAAGAAACGATTTTCTTAGATGGCTGATTGATATACCCTATTTGGCATATATCTCTCTCTCTAGTCTCTAGATGGTTTTCGTCTTCACATAATCTAGAACGTAGGACCTTATATATATTTTGCGATGCCAGCAAAGAAGCTTACACTACAGCCGTTTTTTTTGAGATCGGAAACAAGCATGGGAGTTGATGTTATTCTCGTTCAAGCAAAATCAAGAGTTCCGCCTGTGAAGAAATTAAACATAAAAGCATACCTTGTTTAGAATTAATCGCTGCAATAATTATAGGATCTAGGATGTCGTGCAATATTGTGGAAAATATTGA